GTAGATGATATGATCTTATATTTAGAAAAACCTAATGACTACACTCAAAACCTACTAGAACAAATAAACAACTTCAGCGAAGTTGTGGGATGCCAAATCAATGTGCAAGAATCAGCAGCATTTCTGTATGTCAGCAACAAAAAAATCTGAAAAAGAAATTAGGAAAGTAATAGCACTTCCAGTAGCTACAAATAAAACAAAATACCTAGGAATAAACTTACCCAAAAAATGAAAGATTTCTACAATGAAAACTAAAAAACTGATGAAAGAAATTGAAGAAGGCAGAAAAAAGGAAATATATTTTATATTTATAGATTGGAAGAATTGATATTGTTAAAATGTCTATACTACTCGAAGCAATCAGTGCACTCCCTATCAAAATATCAATAACATTCAGTGCACTACCCATCAAAGTATCAATGACATTCTTCCTAGAAATAGAAGAAATTACTCTAAAATGTATATGAAACCACAAGAGATTTAGAATAAACAAAGCTATCCTGAGCAGAAAGAACAGAACTGGAGGAATCATACAACCTGACTTCAAATTATACTACAGAGCTATAGTAACCAAAACAGCATGATGGTGGCAACAAAACAGATGTGTAGACCAATGGAACAGAATAGAGAACCCAGGAATACATCCATACATCTAAAGTGAACTCATTTTCCACAAAGTTACCAACAACATACATTGGGGAAAGGGCAGTCTCTTCAATAAATACTGCTAGGAAAACTGGATGTCTATATGCAGAAGAAACGGGACGCTTATCTATCACCATATAAGACATTGACTCGAAGTGGATTAAAGACAAATCTAAGTCCTGAAACTCTGAAAGTATTAAAAGAAACATTGGGGAAACTCTCTAGGACATTAGATTGGGCAAAGATTTCTTGAGTAATACCCCATAAGCAAGGCAATCGAATTAAAAAATGGACAAACAGGATTGCATCAAGTCGAAAACCTTCTGCACAGCAAAAGAAACAATCAACAAAGTGAAGAGATAACCCACAGAATGGGAGACAATTTTGCTAACTATCCATCTGACAAGGGATTAATATTCAGAACATATAAGTAGTTCAAACAACTCAATAAAAAATCTAATAACCTGATTTAAAAATGGGCAAAACATCTGCATAAACATTTCCCAAAAGAAGACACATAAATGGCAAACGGGTACATAGAAAGGTGCTCAACATCATTGATTATCAGAAAAACACAAATCAAAACTACAATGAGATATTATCTAACCCCAGTTAAAATGGCTTTTATCCAAAAAACAGGCAATAACATATGCTGGCGAGAACGCAGAAAACAGAGAACACTTGTACACTGCTGGTGGAAATGTAAATTAGTACAACCACGATGGAGAACAGTTTGAAGCTTCCTCAGAAGCTAAAAATAGGACTGCTATATGATCCAACAAACCCATTGCTACGTATATAATCAAAAGAAAGGGAATCAGTATATTGAAAAGATGTCTGCACATCCATGTTTATTGCTTCCCTATTCACCATAGTCAAGATTTGTGAGCAACCTAAGCATCTATCAGCAAAGTGCATAAAGAAAATTGGGTACGTATACACAATGGAGTATTACTTAGCCATAAAAGAGCATAAGATCCTGTTATTTGCAACAATATAGATGTATCTGGACAATATTATGTTAAATTAAATAATTCTGTCACAGAAAGGCAAACTCCACAGGTTCTCACTTATTTGTGGGATCTAAACATTAAAACAATTGAATTCATGGAGATAGTAGAATGATCATAACAGATGCTGGGAAATAGAGTCATGGGAACAGGAATATGGGGAAGTAGTGATGATTAATGAGTATGAAAAGATAGAATTTTTTATTTTTGAGTCAGAGTCTTGCTTTGGCACCAGGCTGGAGTGCAGTGGCATGATCTCCACTCACTGCAACCTCCAGCTCCCTGGTTCAAGCAATTCTCCTGCCTCAGCCTCCCGAGTAGCTGGGGTTAGAGGTACACACCACCATGCCCAGCTAATTTTGGTATTTTTGGTAGAGATGGGATTTCACTGTGTTGACCAGGATGGTCTCAATATCCTGACCTCATGATCCTCCAGCCTCCCAAAATGCTGGGATTAAAGGCGTGAGCCACCGTGCCCAGACAGATCTAGTATTTCGAAACACAGCAAGGTGACTACAGTCAACAATAACTTATTTTATGTTTAAATATTATGAAATGAGAGGCATCAAAATGTTTGTAACACAAATAATTGTTAAATGCATGAGATGATGAATACCCCATTTATAATGAGGTGATTATTAGACATTGTGTGCCTGAATCAAAGTCTCATGTACCCCATAAAAATATACCTATTGTGTGCCAACAAAAATTAAAATTCAAAAAGAAAAGAAAAAATAACAAGTCTCCCATAAAAATACTACAACCCAATAGTTTCACCGCTAAATTCTACTGAACATTTACAGAAAAACTATTCTCATACTATTTCAAAAATGTTGAAGACAAGAGATCACTTCCAAACTTATTCTACAAGGGCAGCATTATCTTGATACTAAAACCTAAAAAGGATACAACAATAAAATAAAATTACAGGCCAGTATCTCTGATAAACACAAGGAATAAAAATCCTCTACAAAATATTAGCAAATTTAATTCAACAGCACATTAAAAGATCATTCCCCCTGATCAAGTGGGTTTCAACCCAGGAATGCAAGGATACCATACACAAATCAATTAATGGAATATATCACATAAACATAAATGAAGGATGTGATTATTTTAATGAAATAAGCATGTGATAAAATTCAACATCCCTTATCATGAGAACTCTCAACAAATTAGGTATAGAAGGAATGTACCGTCACAAAATAAAAACTATATGTAACTAATCCATAGCTAATGAATACTGAATGGGATAAAGTTGAGACATTTTCCTGTAAGATCTGAAACAAAACAAGGATGCCTACTTTTGCCACTTGTATTTTACATAGTACCAGAAGTCCAAGTCAGAGCAATTTAGCGAACAAGAAATCTAAAGCATCCAAATTGGAAAAGAAAAAGTAAAATTGCTCCTATTGTGGCCGTGAACTTATATAGAGAAAACTCTTAATATTCCACACCAAAAAAAAAAAAAAAACCTGTTAGAACTACTAAACAAGCAAAAAAAAAAAAAAAAATATTAGAACTATTAAACAAGCACAGTAAATTTTCAAGATTAATAAAAACATACAAAATCAATAGCATATCTATATACTAATAGTAAACAATCAGAAAAAATATCAAGAAGATTTTATTTTAAAAAGCTACAAAAATATTTAGGAATAATTTTAACATGGAGGTAAAAAATTTCTGCACTGCAAGAGATAAAATATTGATTAAAGAAATTAAGAAAAAAATCAATGTAAAGATATTCCATGCTCATGAATTATAGGAATTAATATTGTTAAAATGCCTATTATACCGCAAATAATCAACAGATCAAATCCAATCCCTGTCAAAATTCCAGTGACGTTTTTCTCAGAAACAGAAAAAACAAGCCTAAAATTCATAAAACTACACGAGACCCCAAATAGCCAAAGCAATCTTGAGCTGAAATAACAAAGCTGGAGTCATGATACTACTTGACTTCAAAATATACTACATGATATAGTAAGCAAAACAGCACAATACTGGCAAAAAAATAGACACAGACCAATGGAACGGAACAGAGAAAACAGAAATGAATGCATGCACTTATAGCTAACTGATTTTCAACAAAATTGTCAAGAATATATCAGAGAAAGGACAGTGTCTTCAAAAAACGATGCTAAGAAAACTGGATATCTACATTCAGAAAAATGAAACTAGACCCCTATCTCTCAGAATATACAAAAATCAACTCAATATAGGCAAAACACCTAAATGTAAGACCTGAAATGCTAAAACTATTAGAAAAAAAACCCAAAAAACAAAAAACAGGGGAAATGCTTATGACATTGGTCTGGACAAGGAGCTTTTGCATAAGATCCCCAAAGCACAGGAAACAAAAGCAAAAATAGACAAATGAGATTGCATCAAACTAAAAATCTCCTGCATAGCATAAGAAACAATCAGTGAAGTTAAAAGGCAATCAATAAATGGGAATACATATTTTAAACTATACATCTGACAGGGTTTAATATCCAGAATATATAAGGAAGTCAAACAATTGCAAAATAAATAAATAATTTAGTTTAAAAATGGGTAAAAGTTCTGAATAGACATTTCTCAAAAGAAGATATATGAATTTTCAAGTATATTTATACTCAAGCATATGAAAAAAGTGCTCAATAACTATCAAGGAAATGCAAATTGAAACTTCAATGAACTATCACCTTACCCAAATTTAAAATGACTATGAGAAAGACAAAAACAACAAATATTGATGTAGATACAAAGAAAGGAGAACACTATACATAGCTTGTGGGAATGTAAGTTAATATTAATTAAGGAGGTTCCTCAAAACACTAAAAGCAGAACTACCTATGATCCAGCAATCCTACTGCTATGTATATATCCAAAATAAAGGAAATCAGTATATCAAAGAGACAGCTGCACACCCACATTTATCTCAGCAGTATTTACAATGGCCAAGCTATGAAATCAACCTAAGCATCCATTCACAGGTAAATGGATAAAGAAAATGTGGTATATCTACCTAACAGAATACTATTCGAGTATAAGAAATCATAAAATCCTGCCATGTGCAGCAACATGGATGAACCTGGAGGAGATTATTTAAGTGAAATAAGCCAGGCACAGAAAGTCAAATACTGCATAATCTAAATTGTATGTAGAATCTAAATGAATTGATCTCACAGATTTAGAGAGCACAAAAGTGGTTAGCAGAGGCTGGGGTGGGGTGCAGGAAGTGAGTTATTAGGAGAGATTGATCAGTGGGCACACAGTTTGATAGACAAAATAAGTTCTGGTATTCTATTGCACAGTAAGATAACTGTGATTAACATTATATTGTATATTACAAAATAGCTAGAAGAGAGGCTTTTGAATATTGTCACCATAAAGAAATGATAAATGTATGAGGTGATGGATATGTTAAATACCCTGTTTTTATTTTTACCCAATGTATATGTGTAACAAAATGTCACCCCATGCCCTACAAATATGTACAATTACTCTGTGTCAATTAAAAACAAAATAGAAACTGTGAGGATAAAACTGATAGAGTAGGCAGGGAGAAGACAAATATAAATTGGAAACTTCATCACCCTCTTTCAGTCATTGATAGTTCACGCAGGCAGAAAATCGGTAAGGATATAACTGACTGAATAGCACCATCAGTCAGCCTGATCTAATTGACATTATAAACATATTTCATTCAGCAGCAGCATAACAAAATTCTTCTCAGACTCTCATGGATCATTTACCGAGATAGACCACTGTAGATCATAACACACATATGATCATATTTAAAAGAATAGAAATCATGCAAAGTATATATGATCATTACGGATCATAATAGACTTTGTCATAACACAATTAATCTAGAAATACAGTACAGAGAGCTGGAAAATCTACAAATGCTTGAGGAATTAACACATTTCTAAAAATTCTGTGAGTCAAAGACATCTCAATAGGTTCATATATGTAAGTATATACATGTAAATACGTGTATATATTTCAACTCAATGAAAATGCAACTTAAAATTTGTGAGATGCAGTGAAAATAGTGCTTACAAGGAATTTCATAGCATTAAGTGCACATGTTAAAAGAAAAGAAAGATCTAAAATCAATAATCTAAATTTTAATCTTGGGAAACAATAGCAGAAAAATCTAAAATTAAAACAAAATTAAAAAAAAAATTAAAGCAGAAATCAGTGAAACTGAAAACAGGAAAGCAATAGAAAAAGGTCACAAAACCAAGAGCTGGCTCTTTAAAAAGTTTAATAAAAGTTATAAACCTCTAACTTCATAAAAACAGAAGACCGAACTTAACAGCAGAAAATAAAGATGGGTCAATGCTACTGATATCATAAACATTAAGAGAATAATATAGACATAATATAAACAAGTCTATGATCAAAAATGTGTTAAATCAGTTTAAATAGTGCTAGAAAATTTAGTTGTGCAAATTTATACTACCAAAAAATGAATTTCCAAGTATACCCTATACCTTTCACAAAAATTACATCAAAATTCATCAGTAACCTAAATATAAAGGCAATAGTATAAAACGTATAGAAGAAACTGTAGGAGAAAATTTAATTGATTTTATATTTATTGATGAGTTTTCATATACAACACCAAAATCATAATCTATGAAAGAAGATAAATTAGACTATTAAAATTTAAAATGTCTGCTGCAGTAGAGACACAAGAAAATCAAAAGAAAAGCTACATGCTGGAGAAAATATTTACAAACTATACATCTAATAAAAGACTTGCACCCAAAATATACAAAGAACACTGAAAAATAAGGAAACAAAAATCCACTTAAGAAATCGTCAAAAGATTTGAACAGATGTCTCACCAAAATATGTAAACAGATGTCAATAAGCATATATAAAGATGCTCGGTCTCAACATTGAAATAACTTTACACATCTATTAAAATGGCTAACTTTCAAAAAGCTGACAATAACATGATGCTGAGAATACAGAGGAACAAGAATTCCCCTTTCTGTTGTTAGGAGTACAAAATGATACAGCCACTTTGAAGAGATTTGGCAATTTCTTACAAAGATAAACAATCTTATTATCTACCAATTGTGCTTCTAGTTTGTAAACTTCTGTCCATACAAAAACCTATACACAGATTTTCACTGCAACTTTGTTCATAGTAGCCAAAAACTGGAGATTATTGTCATTATACATTAATAAATTAATGGATAAAGTAAGGTTCATTCATGCAATAAAATGCTATTCAACAATAAAATGAATGGGCCATCAAGCCAGGCAAAAATAAGAATATATATCAAATTAATATTGCTAAGTAAAATAAGCCAGTCTTGAAAGGTTACATTCTCTATGATTCCAATTATTTGACTTTCTAGAAACTACGGAGACTATAAAATGATCAATGATTGCCAGGGGTAAACTGTAGGAAAGAGGATTAGGTAAAGCACAGAAAATTTTTAGTGCAATAACCCTATACTGGTTAAGTACATAAAATCACACATTTGTCAAAACCCACAGAACTTTACAGCACAAAGAGAAGACTTCATGAAATTTTTAAAAGAAATTATTTAGGTTAAGGGTATCCAGATATGTAATGCAGAACATGATGAAATAATCGAATTGTATTGCATATTTCTGAAACAATTTTACTGAAGGTAGAGCAGGGAAAAAATACTGACCTAACTAAGTTTGGAAATGAGTGGAGTCTCTAAGACTAAAGACAAAAGTAGTTGCACGGTAGCACTGTAATCCATGTGATAAAGTAGTTTCCTAGGGTTACAAGTTAACAATTTGGATACAACTCTGCATGTATAATAGAATTGAACAATTAAGTAAATGGTTTTGTATAATGCTGGCCAGTTTTCTCACTGTTGGAATGAAAATTTACAGAGAAGCAAGGAGATCTAAGTAGTGGTGGACTGGAGTTGCAGGAATCAATATAATAATACTGATCAGGTTAATACCAGTCAGTTTAATGCTGTTTAGTTTAAAACGCAAATGATTACATATAGGAATATTTATATGTGTATGTATATACAAGTGTTTAGTATATACACATGTATTTACGGGCTCTGTTAACTAAGACAATCTCAAATAAATGACACATCAGTAGCAACAAGCCAAACTAGTACTAAAATTCTGGTTTGTAATGCCATTATCTACTCAAAGGAACCAGTGCATTCTGGAGAAATGGTTGATTCTCATACTGAGAAAGCTCATGTACAAGATGAGATCGGAGAAACTCGTGCCAGAAATCAAGGGAGTGTGAAAGGAAAGAAGAGGAGAGGAGAGGGGAGGGGAAGAAAGCAGGGAGAGAAGGGAGGGAGGGAAGGAGGAAATACCAAGAACATTGATGAAAGAGCTTCTAGTGGTCAAAGTTGAAGCAATGTGAACAATCTAATAAAGCATTACTTGACCATAAACCAAAATAGAAAAAAATTTATTAGTCCATACTGATATAAACAAATGTATTAAAACAAAGGTTTATATAAATTTAAGCAAAACTGGATTCAGCAAAGATGGGCACAGAGGCTGAAGGTTAAGGTTTGGTTAAGAAAAACGCTTAGAGGGATCTAACTAAAATTTGGTCAAAGAGAGAGTCTTTGCCAGGGATTTATGAGAACCTATGTATTATCTCAATTTTTCTGTAAATCTAAAAATGTTCTAACAATTTTAAGTTTAATAGAAAAACAAACAATAAAAAAACTTTACAAGGAATAAAAAAGCTGTCTATAAATGGAATGAGCTACCTTCGAATAAAAAGTGTTCCTTGTTATTATTTTCTAAATAAGAAGTTGGAGGATGTATTAGGATTCTTCAGCAATTAGTCCATACAGATGAACACTCACAGAAACTGTTAGGAAGGGAATTAAAACGATTTATAGTAATTGATCCCATCCAAACCAAAGACTCTAAGACTGCTTCTCTCATTTTGAGCTACCCCAAAATGAAAAGTTAGGAAAACATTGTCTTCTGTAGCTCACAGGCCAGATGTCTTGCAGATAGAATTTAGGATAATAAAATGCATATTTCTTTTTACAAACTTTGTTCACAAAAAGGTTCCAATTAATCCTCAAAAAGATTCAGAACAAGTGTTTTTATAGATAATATTATCAGTAAAAATTAGAGGCTAAGCTCTTTGGTTCCTCCCTATAATCCCAGAACTTTGGGAGGCCAAGATGGGAGGATCACTTGAGGCCAGGGGTTCAATACCAGCCTGGGCAATGTAATGATACCCTCTCTCTACAAAAAATAAAAATTTAGCCAGCTGTGGTGGTACATGCCTGTCGTTCCGGCTACTTGAGAGGTTGAGGCAAGAGGATAATTTGAACTGAGGAATTCAAGGTTGCAGTGAGTCATGATCACACCACTGCACTCCAGCCTAGCAAGAGAAAGCAAGACCCTTTCTCAAAAACAAAAACAAACAAAAACAAACAAAAAATCAGGCTTCAAATGAGTAAATATTTTCTCAAACTATCCTGAAAGTCTAATATGTAGAATGTTGTTTTTAAGTGAAAATCTAATATATAGAATTTTGTTTCCAAATGAAAAATTCATCTTTTTATTTCAAGCAGTCACCTTTTAAACAAACAAAAAGTAAAACAGGCATTTGTATATTGGGAAATAGTGGAACAAGGCTTGTCATGGACACCTGATATAAATTACCACAAAAGAAAACTGGAACTCAGGATCATTTGTATTCATTACAATGCTGTCAAAAAATATTGATAAATATGGGATAAAGAGCCAGAGGTTTTATCTTAACCACAGGGTAATATTTATCATTAATAAACTAGCCATTAGGTGCTCCACAGGATTTGATATGAAATTAGGAAAACAAATTTGGTCAATTGTGCTGTTGATTGTTGAGGGAATGTTAAGTCATTGAAATATAAAGTGTCCATTGACTCTGTATTCCAAACTGTCACCTTACAAACAAATGTTTAAAAACAGACATTGTGAGTCAGAAACTTTGTATATAAATACCTACTACTCATTAGGTAAGGAAAATAGTAGGGAATAATAACAGTTATTGGCCATGCCCACTAGTGACGTGCAGCTAAAAGCCCTCTGTAGTGCCATCACAACCTCCTTACTTAGTTTTATTTTTTCCATAGCATTTATCAATTTCTAAAGTACCACATGTATCAATATACTACAGCTGCTATAACAAAGTGCTGCAGCCTGGATGGCTTCAATAACAGAAACCTATTTTCTCACAGTTCCGGAGGCTAAAAACCCAGTATCAAAGTGTCGGCAGATTTACTTTGTTCTCCCGAGGGGATTTTTTTTCTGTTCCAGCCTCTTTTTGACTTGTAAATGACTGTCTTTACCACATGCTTTCATTTCATCTTGACTTTGTATGTGTGTGTCTGTGTCCAAATGTTCTTTTCTCAGATACCAATCATATTGGATTAGGTTCCACCCTGATAACATCATTCTAATTTGATTACCTCTTTTAAGACCCTGTGTCTAAATATGGTTACATCATGAGGGTCTGGGGGTTAGGAATTCAACATGTGAATTTTGGGGAAGACATAATTCAGCCCATAATATTACATAGCTCATTTAAAAAATGTTTATTATTTATTCTCTCCCCAGACCAATAACTAGAATATAAGCTTAGAAACAGAAATAGTATTTTTCCATGTTTTGTTCAATGATGTATCTTAGTTACTGAGAATGGTCCCTGATGCTTCATGGGCACACAAATATATTTCTATACATTGAATAAATATTCTTACTGGTATCAAATATTTATTGACTACTTAGGACATGCCAAGTAGTTGGCATGGATTGTTAAAAATTATATGGTATAGGGACTATAATTAACATCCTCATTTGAAAGTTGGGAAAATTTAAGTTTTGTGAATTGCAACAGTCATCCAACACATCACAGTTCATGAAACTTGGAACTGGGAGTTGAGTTTAGGATATCTGCCTATATGATCATCAGGCTTAGACTCCATGCCATGATGTTCCTCAGCTAATAAAACAGTGATTTTTGGTCAGTGGTAGAAAAGAAACAAAGAGATTTGCTCATATGAAAAACATCAATATAGAGATTTATTACATGTATACTTAGAAAAATGAAACTCTCATTAAAACAAAAATGGGTTGTGATAAGCAGAATAGTGGCCCCCAAAGGTGTCCATGTCATAACCCCAGAATCTGTGACTATGCTCATGGCGTGATATCTTACATGCCAAAAAGGACTTTGCAGATGCGATTAGGGGTATGGACTTAGATAATCCCGGACTATCTAGGTGGGTCCAATATAACCACATAAATCCTTAAAATTGAAAGATGAAGGCAGAAGAGTGGGTCTTCAGAGAGATGTGACATTAGGACTTGACCCACTGCTGCTGGTTTTGAAGAGGGAGAAAGACACAAGCTAAGCAATGCTGGCAGCCAGTAGAAGCTTGAAATGGTAAAATGGATTTTTCCTTGGAGCTTTCAGAAAGGAAGGAAGCCTTACTAACATCTTGATATCAGCCCATTGAGACCTCCTGTGTGGGTCTTTTGATGTACTGAATTATAAAATAAATTTTAGTGTTTAAATCACTAAGTCCATGGTAATTGTTTACAGTAGCAAAAGAAAATAATACGGGGGTTAAAAACATGATTAGGAATTTCAGAAAGAAAACAGATTAAATCTGAGCTAATTTATTCAATTTCACTAGTATTTAAGGGAATGAAAATAAAAGCAAAATAACATATTGATATTCATAAGATAGATAAACATTAAAAGAATAACGTTTACTGCTGGTGAGCCCTTGAAAAATAGGCGCTTTCCTGCAGGTTGGTAACATGTTTCAAAGGCCTC